CAGTTCTCCCTTGAATAGGCCCCTATATATATATATATATAGTATGAGAAATGGTCTAAGTGTAGCTAATGTGAGACTTTAACATGACACTTTCAACAGAGGCTAGACGGACACTGATTGTCTTAACCCCCTCCCCCCCACTCTTCAAAAGACGGTCTCCCGTGTTGGTTGTTCGGAATCGGAATCGGATTCCGATTTGGAGACAGTACAATTCCATTGCTAAGCTGAAGAGAACACAAGTATATCATGATACAAATAACTAGAGTCTTCATTTGGAAAAATATCTCACTTGTTAGAATGTGAAGATTGTTCACCCAAAATTTAAAGGAATAAAAATCCCCTTTTGGACACGAAGGTTCAAATACGATGACTCCGGGCTATCCGCAAAACAGGCGATCGGTATGGACTTAGTCGGCTCATATAGCGGGTTGAATATCCAGGTTAATAAAAAAAAGTGTTCAAAATATGAAAGTACGTTACGTTTTTTTTATCTTTAATAAGTTCAATAATTTATTTGTTCGATTTCAGTACATTGAGTTATTACTTTTAAGGATTTATTTGTTCGAAATCCACAGGCTTAAAAATTCAAAATATAAAAATACGTTGAGCTTTCTAAACTTTTCCTTTACGTTCATATAAAGTATTCCTACAAAATTGTTATAACGAAATCGGATTTATGGGGCCCAAATGTATTCGACAAATGTTTTGATTCTCTCATTTGGTTATAGTTTTCGGAGCAAAAAACCAATAATTGTGGGACCAAGTACGAGATTTGTTTCGTAACAATAATATCGTAGTAGGCAGTAAGGTTTCGTAGATCGGTTGTTGTAGCTAGTTTGCGACATGGCATGAAAACTCGATCGATACGGGTTTCTTTCATATATGGATCGGTTTTATGATTGCGTTTGTAGAAAAGTATTAAGGAGCTCTTTAATTCCTTATGGAGACAGAATGTTGGGTGGTTTTGAGTGATCAATAAAGCGATAGATAGAGACATATATACCTTCCACTAAGCTACATATATACCAGCTTGGCTAAACCACTTTGTTGCCTGATTCATTAAGCCATCATCACAAAAATAGAAAGAAAAAAACAACTACAAGGTGATGTCTGATTGGTTTGAGCTTGGCTTCAAAGATCAAAAGTATCAGGAGGTTCCAAGTTCAAATCTAAGGAGGAATAAAAATCCCCTTGTGGCCAAGGAGGTTCAAATGCGGTAACTCCGGGCTATCTGCAAAGCAGGTGGTCGTCCTGGGATTAGTCGGCTCGCATAGCGGGTTGGATATCCAGGTTAATAAAAAAAATGATATAGTTAAGAGGATTTGTTCATTTTTTTTTGCAACTTAATGAGAGATGAAACTGTTGATGGTCGTTTGATGGATTCACAAGTAGATGTAAGTTATAATAATTTTCTGTATTTTAATAAGGTTTATGTCTCTGATGTCGTGAACGATATGGAGAGACGACCTTGTGATGAAATTGAAGTCGATGGTCGAACGACCCTGTGATGAAATTGAAGTTAATGATCGAACTCAAGATAACGTCATAGTATTCTTTGAACCCAAAATGATTTTGCATTCACAAAACCATGATAATTTTGAGAGGAGGGACCAAATTGATAAGAATAGTTCCAAATAAGGACCACTATGTTCAAATTTGATAGTTCGATACCAAATTTGCAAGTTACACTATAGTCTAAGGACCATTTGGATCCATTCGTTAAAAAGGAGCCTGATGGTAAATTCTCAAAGGCGGGGTTGGGGCAGCGGATGAAGTTTTTTGTTGAAAATTCAAGAACTTCGAAGAAGGATTTTGTTTGAGTTCGTAAAATGGATCAAAATTGTAGATGAAACCCATTTCAAATTGTAAAGAAATCATCGAAACCCAATATCAGAAGTAGACAAATATAAATTGCATGAGGTTTGATTTCGGGCAACAAGGTGAAGAAAGGGGAGGGTGTTGAGATGGTGGTGGAAGGTAAAGGAGAGGAGAGTGTCAGTAGCGAATCAAAATCTGATGAAACAGAAATGACGACGATGAGCTCGTATTGGTTGATTAATTTCCCGAGAGATCTGATGGCAGGTGCATTCATGGGTGGAATTGTGCATTCGATTGTAGCCCCAATCGAGAGGGCAAAGCTTTTGTTACAAACCCAAGAGAGCAACATCGCCATTATTGGAGGGAAGCACAGGAGGTTTAAGGGGATGATAGATTGTATTGTGCGTACGGTTAAGGAAGAAGGCATTATATCACTTTGGAGAGGCAACGGAAGCAGTGTTCTTCGTTATTACCCTTCTGTTGCCCTAAATTTTTCTCTTAAGGTAACCCATTTTCCTCTATATTTCCATTTCGTTTTCTGGAATGCAATTGCTTAGATTCATATACTGTTTTGATAATTTCTGAAATGGGTACCTGAGGAAAACAAAAAATGGTGCTAATTCAATCTCTTTGATCCTTAGATTATGCGTTCAAGTCTCTTATGACACAATAGACATGGGTTTGTCAGCTCTGGTTGTGTGTGTGCCTATCCTGTTTGCAATTCAAAGAAAAGAAAGAAGGATGCCAACATTTGAATCATTCTAACAACTAATTGGCTTAGATGAACAGAAAATTTGTTTAAATTTTGATTTAGGAGTTGTAGCTCAAGGGAGTTACTTGAATCACTGGTATAGATTTAGAATGCTATTGTATAGATTTCATTCAGATTCGAATTCAGTGGGGTTGGTGTTTATATGTAAGAACGACGTTATGATGTTGGTTATGCATATTGGTGCTCGATGTAGATGACTTGTGCAGATACTTTCAAGTTTAAAATTTGGCATTATGGATGGCATTTGATGTGTGAAGAGAATCTCATTTGGTCACCAGAAACAACTGTTTTACCCTTTGGGGGAAGAGGACAAGTTTGCGACTTTGTGTACATTTGATTTGGTTTGGTTGGTTTCATCTTGAATGGCATGTCTGCAAATGTAGCAAAATGGGTATTTGCAAAACCAAAATGTGTGATGGCTAACCTTTAGTACATCGTAAGTTGAGATTATGGGAGAGACGAAGTTGATGCATGCAAGAGAGTTAGACATGAATCATGTTCGAGTGGTTAGGACTTGTCATGGTGCATCAATGTGCAGGTAGCAAAAGTCTCCAGAAATCCCAGCCTAGGGCCACTTTCGATCACTTAGGACCACAAAATCGACTGCCTAGGAGTCGAGCATTCCCACCACTTCAATTATCAACTCCTTGTTGAATTAAGCTTTCAAACATAAACCATGGATTAATCAAATTTGCTCATCAACCAGATTTTCTCAACCTCGATGGAAATGAAAATGTTCCAGCTTCATCTATATTGAATCTGAACAGTGTTCAAGAACTCACTTTTACTGATACTGTGTGGCTGAGATTGTAATATTACTTTTGCATTTAGGTACGAATCCATGAGATCACAAATTCGTTTAGAGTGCTATACATAAATGTACAACTTTCTAATTCATATCTAACCAAACCATACAAACCCAGTAAATCTGACACGCAGATAGTCTTTAGTTCCATGGGCTGTTGAGTTTTTATGCATAAAAAGAAAGAGTATGCTAGGAGAGTTCCATTAAGAGGCAATCTCTGAATCGTTAAGAGGTGAATCTTGTTTGGCAAAAAAAGTCTGCCTCTTAATGGTTCTAAAACCATCTGAATGATTTTGTATCTTGAGCCTCCCTTAACCATTAAGAGTCCTAATTTCATTGTAAACAATTACCAAACAATTATATTTCATTTTGCACTATATCATGATAGCCTCTTAATCATTCTGACCACTTAATCATTCTGGACAAAACCATTCAGCAACTGCCAAACAGCCTAGGTGTTTTTGGTTTGGTTTAGTTTGGATACGCGAATTGGAGTTAGTAGAATAGCGTAGAACAAACACCAGGGAGATTGGACAAGATTTGTAAATTACCAAACTACTCATGTCAAATTAAAACCGTAAAATCTTTCACCTGCCCACCTAACTCTGGCCGACTAGTCTTGTATGCATACCAAAACACACCCTTAATCTTTTATTTACATCCGAATGAAGTGATAATAGAATGGATTGATAGTAAAAATCAAGCAAATAGATTGTATAGTTGATTTTATTCATTTTGTTGTTCTATTTTTTTAAGGAAAACAAAAATTGTCCGTTTTGCAGGATCTTTATCGAAGCATCTTACGCAATGACAATTTTCAAACGTCTAACAATTTCTTCTCCGGCCCGTCTGCCAACTTCATCGCCGGAGCTGCAGCTGGTTGTACAACACTAGTAATCATCTATCCTCTTGATATCGCACACACTCGGCTCGCCGCAGACCTCGGAAGAACCGAATCCCGTCAATTTCAAGGAATTCGCCACTTCCTAAGCACGGTACGAGCCAAAGAAGGGATCCGTGGGATATACCAAGGGCTCCCTGCATCCCTCCATGGAATGGTGGTTCACCGCGGGCTCTACTTTGGCGGTTTTGACACAATCAAAGAGAAAATGTCGGAAAACACAGTATCAGAAGTTTCGCTATGGAACCGGTGGATCGTGGCTCAGGGAGTTACTACAGTGGCCGGGCTTTTGTCGTACCCATTGGATACAGTGAGAAGGCGAATGATGATGCAATCGGGGTCCGATGATCGGATGTACCGAAGTACATTGGATTGTTGGAAGAAGATTTATAAGGAAGGGGGTATAGGGTCATTTTATCGAGGGGCTGTTTCGAACATATTTAGAAGTACAGGGGCTGCTGCAATCTTGGTTTTGTATGATGAGGTGAAGAAATTGATGGAATGGAGTGGCTTGTAGTACAGGATTTTGTTGAATACAAATTAACAAGCAATATCAGTTATAATAATATAAGATTTTAATTAAAAATATTTACATATTAATTATATCATCGTCAATACTTTTAAAATAAGCTCAATATTAAATATTTTTTACTGTTCTTCGGTTTAATAATATTATAAAATATTATAAATAAACGCATTGGGTTTTGTTATTTCCAGTTTTCTTTCTTGAAACCACCAACATGTGTATCGGGTTTTTTTTTATTAACCTGGATATCCAATCTGCTAAGCGAGCCGACTAATCCCAGGAAGATCACTTGCTTTGTTGTTAGTCCGGAGTCACCGCATTTGAACCTCCATAGCTACAAGGGGATTTTTATTTCTTCTTGAATTTAAACTTGGGACCTCCAAACACTTTTGACCTATGGAGTCCAAGCTCAAACCAATTAGACACTACCCTTGTGGTTTCTTCTTGTTTCACAGGGCAATGAATCGTTGATGCATGCACTCTTCTTCGTAAGATTTTCTTATTGCAGTTCGTGGTGAGTTCTTAGTAGTTCTAATGGATCATGGGTGCATAAGTAATCCAAGTAACTGTTTTTTTTTCTTCCGGGAAAGGTCTTTAGAGCTGATATCAACCGTTTTGCATTTTATTTTTCAATTACAAGTTGCAAAAACTACAAACCACTAATTAATACATAAACCGATCTTTGAAAGGTAAGAACAACAAATGATATAGGTTAAAAACATTATTGACGTACTATTCTATTTCAAAATCTTTGATCAATAGAGCGTATTAACTTTGAATTATATAACATTTGATTTACAATCTAAGATCATAACAAACTATAAAATCAACATCGAGAGTGACGGAGAATAAAACAAAACTTGAAACAAGATTGTCGTTTCGGATTCTCGCCTTCATAACCGAAATGATTTATACAACATCATGCATAGATACGTTACAGTAAAAACGAAAAGAAAAGAGATTGTGGGGGAAAATGGGTTGATATCTCCATAGAGCATGAATACGATGATGAACCAATTGACCCATTTGATGTATAATTAAAACCTTAAATTACATCAACACCAAACTCTCTCTTTTACCCTTTTCTTTTTAAGTGTTTCTTTTAAGTTTCTTACGTGGAACAATCATTTCATTCTTTGAAAATTATTCCCTCTTTAATACTATGCTCAAATTAAGAGTCAAGACTTTTAATTGTTAAGAGGTGAATTTTGTTTGGTAAAAAAAAAGTCTGGTTCTTAATGTTTTTAAAACATTTTGAATGATTTTGTATCTTGGGTCTCTCTTAACCATTAAGCGCCCTAATTTCATTGTAAACAATTATATTTCATTTTGCACTATATCATGAGAGTCTCCTAAACATTCTGACAATTTAATCATTCTGCATCGAACCATTCAGCAACTATCAAACTGTCCCTTAGATTAACAAAAAAGAAGTAAACTGCAATTTTTTTGTGTTATGGTGGAATTATCGGACATCGTTCCTACTATCTGTTTATTATATTTTTTGTCGATATGGTTTCAATTTTCTTATGAATTTGTATTTTTATCATGTATTCAATAAAGACTAGTTTATGTGTATAATAATGTGCCAACAGATGATTTATCGTGTTTATTCGAGTACTACTTGTGTATGCATATAACATAGATCTTCGTGAGGTCATAACTTTTCACTTGTAACTCGGATGGAGATAATTTTTTTACAGTTGCTTATATTTTGAATTTACATGCGGAAAGAATCTAATTTTATCAAGCAAGTATCATGGAGTTATCGTGTTTTTTTCGTACACATGTCATAGTCAGGAAAAAAACACATAACTCTAGACGTGTGCTCGATATCTCCTCGAATTAGTGAGCTTTGCTTATGATACTTTAGAGCTCGTTGTATTCAAATATTCTATATGTATAATACTTTATACAATACTATAAATATCTCCGAAAGGATAAAAAAGTCACCATCTCCGTTGTAGTTCCCGAGACTTCACCAAAAATTTAATAGTCGAACATTTTGACATACTAAAGAGGAGAATAAGGTCATAATATATATATATATATATATATATATATATATTAAAGGAAGAACCAAAAGTATTGAGGTGGCATCATGAGATTTGAGTATTGTGGTGTTGATGAATTGTGGTTGAGTTTGAGGTATCCCACATTGGTGAGAGATTGAAAGATTGAAATAATAAGGTGTGTATAAGAAAGCATGATGAGAGTCATTGTTTCAACTCATGAGGCTTGACTTATAAGGTTATCTTATCTGGATGACCCTAACTTTTTAAAACAAATCTTATATTGTATATCAACTCATGATGTTTGAGTCATAAGGTTATCTTATTTGGATGACCCTATTTTTTCAAAACAAATCATATATATATATATATATATATATATATATTAAAAGAAGAACCAAGAGGTAATTAGGTGCATCATGAGAATTAAGTATTGAAGTGTTGGTGAATTGTGGTTGAATTTGAGATATCTCACTTTGATGAAAGATTGAAGATTGGAATAAAGAGATGTGTATAAGAAAAAAAAATAACGACTATATATATATATATATATATTAAAGGAAGAACCAAGAGTATTGAGGTGACATCATGAGATTTGAGTATTGTGGTGTTGATGAATTGTGGTTGAGTTTAAAGTATCCCAAATTGGTGAGAGATTGAAAGATTGAAATAATAAGGTGTGTATAAGAAAGCATGATGAGAGTCATTGTTTCAACTCATGAGATTTGAGTATTGTGGTGTTAATGAATTGTAGTTGAGTTTAAAGTATCCCAAATTGGTGAGAGATTGAAAGATTGAAATAATAAGGTGTGTATAAGAAAACATGATGAGAGTCATTGTTTCAACTCATGAGGCTTGACTCATAAGGTTATCTTATCTGGATGATCCTAATTTTTTATAACAAATCTTATATTGTATACCAACTCATGATGCTTGAGTCATAAGGTTATCTTATTTGGATGACCCTATTTTTTCAAAACAAATCATATTATATATATATAGGGGCTGGTTCAAATACTAACCCAAACTATTGTGCAAACTATGCTAACCGATCTTGATCGTTCATTTTCTCATCAAACGGTCCTTATTAAATGAGACTACAAAAATAATCATTTAATTAATGTATTAAATGAGATGTCTATGAACAACTGTTCAAAGGGTAATTTTGTAAAAAAATCACATCACATCGTGAACCTATATTATTCAAACGATTTCGTAACCTCCAATCAA